GTTAAAACCTAACCCTTGCATAAATCTAAAGCAAGCATGTACCAAAGATTTATTAAACTCATTAAAGAGATAAACCAAGTGAGGTGGTGAAATCAGTTTAAAAATAGGTACTAAGGGACGCCTGGGTGGCTCATTTGTTAAGCTTCTGTGTTGGGCTCAGGTCATGATCCCAGGGTCCTGGGATTGAGCCCCGTATCGGGCTCCCTGCTCAGCAGGAAGCCTGCTTCTCCCTCTCCCTCTGCCTGCAGCTCCCCCTGCTTGTGCTCTCACAGTCTCTCTCTCTCTGTCAAATAAATAAATAAAATCTTTAAAATAAAATAAAATAAAATAAAATAAAAATAAAATAAAATAAAATAAAATAGCTACTGAAAGAATGCTAGGGTAAGATTGCTAGGTTAGATTTCTAAAATGGTTACTATCATCCAGACAATAAAATTGTAACTATGGGCTTACCTTTACTACTGCACAGAAATCATTTGCATTTCTCCTTGGATAAAATTAATTTGTGCATTGTCAAGCTGTTCTTTGTGGCCTCAATGACTCACTGAGTGCTGCACTCAGCCTGCTTGCTTTGAACTTTTACCTAGTTATTGCCCATTTCTGGGTACCCATCCCCAACGTGTGTGTTTAAGCAGTAAGCCTCATGATGACATTCCCATTTTGCCCCTTCCTTCTTCTCCGTGTTGACCCAGTTACATTCAAATTACCCAAAGAGCAGGTTTCCCAAGTGCCACAAGCTACCTTACCCCGGACCCCAATAAAGGTATTTACCATGGGTCCTTGCTCTGCTCTTTCCCTGCCTGCAGTGACCAAACTTTGGGCTTTGGGTGACTTTATATGATCCTCTGAGCATACCATGCTCCCCTCTCTATGATTTGTGATGAATTCTTTAATTTCACATGCCTTTCCAAGTATAATTTCTGGGACTTTGTCAGAGTGATCCTTAATGACCCCACAAGGGGGCTTACTCCCTCTTTTACAACCCAATTTGTATTGCTATCAGTTTTTCAGGAATTATTATCTATCCTTTTAGAGTTGTAAAGTATTCTAATTAATAGTAAAAAGGAAGCCAAATGAAGTATTCCTTAGTAATACTGAGGAGTTTAATCTCATCTCTCCGGTCAGGGAATTTAAAGGTATCTCCTTTTTGAGGGGTGCCTGGGTGGCTCAGTGGGTTAAGCATTTGACTCTTGATTTGGGTTTGGGTTGTGATCTCAGGATCATGAGGTCTAGCCCTACATCGGGCTTTGTGCGCTGGGTGCATACCCTGCTTAATATTCTCTCTCTCTCCCTCTCCCTCTGCCCTGCCCAATTTCACTCTTTCTCTCTCTCTTAAAAAAAAAAAAAAGGTGGGGTGCCTGGGTGGCTCAGTCCATTGAGCGTCTGCCTTCAGCTCAGGTCATGATCCCAGGATCCTGGGATCGAGCCCGCATGTGGCTCCCTGCTCAGTGGGGAGTCTGCTTCTCCCTCTACCCTTCCCCGCTGCTCATGATCTCTGTCTCTCTCAAATAAGTAAAACCTAAAAAAAAAAAAAAAAGTATCTCCTTTTTTATTTCCAAATGCAGAAACAATTAATAGTGTATTGGTAATTTGATTAGTTTTATATTAAGCCAAGTATTTCACTTCAACCTACTTTTAGTCTGTGTTTATTCAAATTCAGGCATTAATGGGTACTCGAAAAATATTTATAGAATTGATAAATAAAGACAGAGTTTATCTAACTATTCTGACTGTGAAGGAGTCATGTCCAAATAATTTGGTGTCACAATTTTGCTCATGTTTACAAAAGCAAGGAGTAGTGTGGAAACTGGGGGCTGTAGAATCAGACTGACATGGTGCAAATCCCAATTCTGCAGTGTATTGGTTGTATGGTTTCCAGGAAACCACTTAACCCCTCTGCACCTTAATTTCCTTTCAATAAAATGGGGATGATATTATCTACCTTGCCAGAATGTTGTAAGCATTGATATCTACATAAAAGATTGGTCATAATGTATATAAAATGCCTCATACATATTTGCAGCAAAAAGGGAGAATATAGTTGTCTCAGTCAATTCAAGCTGCTATAACAAATTATTATAGAATGGATGGCTTAAAGAACAAACAAGTTATTTCTCACAGTGCTAAAGACTGGGAAGTCCAAGATCCAGGCACTAGCAGAGCCGGTGTCTGGTGAGGGCAATTTTCCTGGTTTGTAGATGGCCAATCTTCTCATTGTATCCTCACATAGCAGAGAAAAGGAGAGGAAGCAAGCTCTCTCTGCCTCTTCTTATAAAAGCACTAAGCCATTATGAGGCTTCACACTCATGACCTCATCACCTCCCAAAGACTCCATCTCCAAATACCATCATGTTGAAGATTAGGGTTTCAGTATATGAATTTTGGGGGACATAAATATACAGTCCATAGCAACAGCATAAACATGATAAAATAGGGAAAGAATTTTCTGTCATCTAACAAAATAATGGAAAGAAATCACAAATCATGGACGATCAAAGCAGAGATAGAGGACTAACTCCCTCTTTTAAAATCTGTGACAATTTTCTATTATGCAAACAGAAATGAAATGCTACTACTTTTTACCTTATTATAATTTTAACTTTAAAAATTATTTGGAGTATAGTTTGAGAGATTTATTATTTGGTGATAGCAAATAGTTTCTTTGTGGCTTACTAGCCTTATGAGATCCAAGAATACTGCAAGTGGATAAAGATTTCTAAGTGATTGATTTCTGTTTAAGTCCTCAATTAAGACAAGTGTTCTGGTTATTTTTGCTGTGTAACAGATAAACCCAAAACTTAGAGGCTTAAATCAACATGTTATGCTCACAGATCCTATGGATCAGGAATTTGGAGAGGGTACCACAAGGATGGCCTGCCTCTTCTCAGGATATCTGGGGCCACATACAGTTGGAAAAACATAGAGACCAGAGGTGACTTACAGGCTGGGAACTGGAATCATCTGAAGATTTGTTCACTCATATGTCTGACTCCTAGACAGGAAGGACTTAAAGCCTGGAGCTTCTGACCACAACAGCTACACATGGCGTCTCTATGTGGTTGGGCTCCCTTTCAGCAAAATGGCCTTAAGGTAGCTAGACCTCTTACATGGTATCTCAGGGCTCCAGGCACAAGTATTCCATCAGACAACACAGAAGGAACATCGCCTTTTATGACGCTCTCCGAAGGCACATCACATCCGTTCTATATACTTTATTGGTCAAAGTGGTCAGTAGCCCACTTAGATTCAAAGGGAGGGAACATAGACCCTACCACTTGGTAGGAGGGTGGCAGGGTCGTATTGTAGTGAAGAGTGTAGGATAGGAGATAGTGTTGTGACCATCTTTAAAACATAAAATTGGCCACAATGAAGGACTTTGTAGAAGCTCAGTTCACACTGGAATATGAAATGAAATGTGTGCTCTAGTTGTCAAGGGCATTTCCTTGCAGTTGATCTGTTGTCACTGCCCAACAGTCAACTAGTCACACACAATTTTCTTTGTGATGGGCTTTTCTTTTCTTTTATCTTTTTCTTAATGTTGCATTTTCTTAGTTTGGGTCCATTACCTCACTGATAAAGCTGTTTTAATATTTAATCTATTCCCAGTTTCCAAATCATTTTCTCAGGTGCCCATCCATTCCTCATAAGTGGTTAATTTAAAAGGCCTTTGAAGCATGACTGCATCCAGCTATGGCAAATCTAAATGTCAAACTTGGAAGCATCCAGTGACATTCAGATGACTCCTTTCAGTATAAGGGCCTCATTTTTCTATCATGTGGTATAGCTTGTCAGAAGAGGGCGAGAAATGGTGCTTTTCCCACTCCACATTTTTAGTGTTGTTGAAAGAACTGGCACTCTAGAATCATGCAGGCTTGCTTTAACCCCATGTGCCCCCATTTAGTTCTGTGAAACTGAGCAAGTTTCTTAAAAATTGTGGGTTAGTTTCCTCATCTATACACTGAAGATAAAAATCCCTGCTTTATAGAGTTGTACTAAGGAACTTAAATAGTCCAAGAAGCTTCTGACGTAGAGCCTGGTTTATAGAAAGAACTCAATAGTTGCTAATAATAAGGAAAACTACCTTTACATTTCTTGTGTGCAAAATTTTCTTTCAGTGTAATCAGTCTTGATCAGGTTCTTGCACCAAATATGCCGGATTCACGAGACAGGTGAGAGAAGAAGTGTCTACACTAGGGATGATTCTTGAAGAAGATGGCTTTCTCTTCTTTACCCTTGGAGCAGGAGGCTGGGGTTGGTGGCAAAAAATGTTCAGCTGAGAACAATGATAAACCGGGGAAGGTGACTTCAGGAGCCTGGGGTTGATGGAGGACATCCTTTTCTAGGTTTTTGTCTCCACCTTCTTCTCCATGCATATTGATCAGATTGTTAAAAGGGCAATAAAAATTTTAAAATGTTTCCAAGTGAGATGTCCCTTGGTAGAACTACCACAAGATAGTAAACACCTCATTGTAAAAATATAACACACTTAATTTTCCGCCGATGTTCATTTGTCTTGTTTCTTATATGAGTGGGGAAAAAAGAGAGGAAAGCCAAGAAACAGACTCCCAGCTCTAGAGAACAAACTGAGGGTTACCAGAGGGGAGGTGGGGGGGGATGGGCTAAATGGGTGATGGAGATGAAGGAGGACCTTTGTTACGATGCGCACTGGGTGTTGTATGGAAGCGCTGAATCCCTAAATTCTATACCTGAAACTAATACTACCTTGTATATTAATAACTGGGATTTAAATAAAAACTTGAAAAAAATATATGCATAGTTAGTAAAATGTATCAAAACTTTGACAATGTATGCCATGTTAGAAGTAAAATCCAAAAAGTAGAATAGAATTTTCTTTTTCGGCCCCCTGAGACTTCTCCACTTAAAATTCCTCCTTAATCTCCAATTATGTAATTATCATTATAAAGATGAAAGATGTTTATTGCATTATTTTAAACTGCAAAAAAGCTTTAATTGACTTTATGTCTTTCTGTGTGTGGCAGGTGGTGAAGTTCACCAAATCCTTTGAATTGATGTCCCCAAAGTGCAGTGCCGATGCTGAGAACAGGTAGGGCTTGTGAGTTTCAGGTTTGTTTTTTGCTCCTTGTCTTCAGTCCTTGGTGTTGGCAGCATCGTGTAATTCTTTGAGGATAGAAGTTCTTTCTTTAGATCGGCAAATGCAGCCAAATACCATCATTCTTCTGTATTTCACAGCTTAAATAAAAACTGCTGCTTTTCTATGTCAACTCTACTTCAATAGTAAAAATTTTCAAGAAACTGTAGCTTAAAAATACATGTATCTACATTACAGAATAAAACTGCAAATGAATGAAGTCAATTTTTAGATATTCCCTAACTACACAGACAGCCTAATTTTCTGCTTTATTCCCTCCCTTTGCTTCTCTTCCTCCCTTCTGTTTGCTTATATTTGGCCAATAATATACCCTTGGGAAAGAGGGAGAGTTTCCAGTAATTCCTTTTTTTTTTTTGTTCCCATTGACATCTTTGAGGTAAAGGTGAGGGTTGGGGACAATCTGTGAATTTCTGTGAGTTTTGCGCTGCCCTGAGTACCAGTTGGGCGCCTACAAAAGTGGATTCTGTTTACTTTGGTCTCTTCTAGAGGAAGGACTAAGAAATAGTGAAACTGACAAAAATGCAGAAATATGGAGAAAGGCAAGTAAAGTGTTTCTGGTGCCATGGTGATGATAATGATGTTAATATTGATACTAATGCCAGCAAGATAAGCAGCTTCCAATCACTGAGTGCCAAGTGTGCCAGGTTCTAGCTAAAGGCTTTATAGGCCTTTAATCCTGAAAATAATCCTATGAAGTCAGCATCATTACCCCGGCATGACAGAGGAGAAAACCAAGGTTCAGCGATTTAAGTGGCTTGCTAAAGGTCCTGCAGGCAGTAAGTGGTAGCCACATCCAAGGACAAGGTCACCTGATGAAACTCTCCAACAGCCTCTGAACTTTGATCCTATTCCCACACATGATTTACAGCTTGGTAGTTAATCTCATACAGTGAATATCTGTTGGGTTAATGTTTCCCAAATCTGGCTGATCAATCGGAATCAAGCTTGGAGAACTTGATAAAAACAATTCCCAGAAACCTCACTGCGAGATTTTGATTCAATATGTCAAAATTGAAGTCCTAAAAATCTCTATATTCAAAAGGCTCCCTGGGTACTACCTGCTTTAAGATGTACTATTCAAGGGTAATTTGATTTTATATATCCATCATTGCCTTAAGTTCAAGCAATAGAAATCAGTACATTAACACTGACACTTCATTTATTTGCTTTAATTTTTATCCAGTGCATGAAATTTAAAAGAGGCCTTTGCTACATACCATATAATTTCATTTACAGGGTATTCTTGAAAAGGCAAATTTATAGAAATAGAAAGCAGATCAGTAGTTTCCAGGAGCTGGAGATGGAGAGAGGGGCTTACTACAAAGGGGCACAGGGGAATTTGGGGATGTGATGGAATTTTTCTGTATCTTGCTGTGGTGGTGGTTGTATGACTGCATTTATCAAAATTTACAGAACTGTACACTAAAAAGGCTAAATTTTACTGTCTGTAAATTATACCTTAAGATGGGGAAAAAGAGGCCTTTCATAAAAGGTTTTTGTTTTCCTGCAAATATATTTTTGTCCACATCTATATCTAATGTCAGCCAATCTATACCTAAAAAAGATATTTAGACATAGAGAGTTACTAGTGGTGTACTGAGCAGTTTTCATAAAGTTTTCATGTAAAATAACATGAAATATATTAGAAAAAAATGTGTATTCATACTTACTCCTTGAGCTAGTCATGGCCTCATGTAAGCTCTCCCTCATACATGAGGGGGGCAAGGTTTATGGAGTTATTAAAATGCAACCTTTGAAATCCAAGTGCTTCAATATTGTTCTTTTTTATGCTACTGAATGTGTCCTCTTGGTCACTGCAGAGTTAAATATTTCTGGTCTTTCAATTATTTTTAATGATGAAAGAACTTCCATGTCAAAACAGAATGACCCAAGGCCCGGAGTGTCCTTGGCAAACTTTCTGATAATAAAGAGAGAAAGAAGGAAAGAAAGAAAGGTCAGATTTTCTTTAAAGAGACATTTGAAAAGTACCTTTGAACTTTGACATTATAAAATAGTACTCTCCATCATTCTATTTGTGGCCTTTAAATTGATGTAGAATATTCATTTATCTCAGAAGACCTTTCCTGCATTGTCTAGTAATTTCCCTCTTGTAGACGGGGGGGATCCTTCAGTCATTTATTGGAAGTTAAAGGAATAAAGATGAGTGGCTCTAGCATTTACTTCGCCAGAGGCTGTGGAAGAGTCACTGAAACAGGCTATGAGTCTACAAATCACAGCCTGCTCTCAACACGTTGTATATCTTTCCTTTAACCTTTCATCACTTAACATCTTCACTGTAGATAATGTCCATTAGATACCTTAGTCCTCTGGACATTGTTCAAAGTTAGGATAGCTTTTGAAGATAAAATGTCTATGGCTTCATGCAATAATCTTTCAGGGTACAGTTTTAATTCTGATGAAATCTGGCTTAAGGTGCTGATTTTTACAGACAGTCCTTGAAGATTTTTTTTTAAAAAACTGGTTTTGTTGCTGACCCATCATTTTTGCATATTGCCCTGTGGGGCTAACTCCTTTGTCATGGCCATGCTCTTCTTGGTTTTTGTGTAATTAATACCAAGCAGTTTGAGAGTTAGAAATGATTTGATGCATTTCTCTCCCTGAGGTATGTACCTCCTCTGGGGCATCTTTGACAACTCCTCCAGTGATAAAAGGCACTACTGGGTATTTACCCCAAAGATACAAATGTAGTGATCCGAAGTGGTATGTGCACTCCAATGTTTATAGCAGCGATGTCCACAATAGCCAAACTATGGAAAGAGCCAAGATGTCCATCGACAGATGAATGGATAAAGAAGATGTGGTATATATACCCAATGGAATATTATGCAGCCATCAAAAGGAATGAAATCTTGCCATTTGCAACAATGTGGATGGAACTGGAGGGTGTTATGCTGAGTAAAATAAGTCAATCAGAGAAAGACATGTATCATATGATCTCACTGATATGAGGAATTCTTTATCTCAGGAAACAAACTGAGGGTAGCTGGAGTGGTGGGGGGTGGGAGGGATGGGGTGGCTGGGTGATAGACATGGGGGAGGGTATGTGCTATGGTGAGTGCTGTGAATTGTGTAAGACTGTTAAATCACAGACCTGTACCCCTGAAAAAAATATAACATATTATGTTAAAAAAAAAAAAGAAGAAGATAGTAGGAAGGGAAAAAGGAAGAGGGGGAAATCGGAGGGGGAGACGAACCATGAGAGACTATGGACTCTGAGAAACAAACTGAGGGTTCTGGGGGGGGGGTTAACCTGGTGATGGGTATTAAAGAGGGCACATATTGAATGGAGCACTGGATGTTATACGCAAACAATGAATCATGGAATACTACATCAAAAACTAATGATGTAATGTATGGTGATTAACATAACATAATAAAATAAAAAAAAGGAAGAGAAAAATAAAATTCCCAAAACTTAAAATTCTAAAAAAAAAAAATTCTCACTGTGTCACCATGGGATTTTTCTACTGATAGGGTTTTCTAATTGTTAGAAGAGCATTTTACGTTCCTATAACTTCCACCTATTTTTCCTGAATTTGTCCATTCGAGATAGTTGCTCTTTCATTAATTTTATTCCTTCATTCAATAGCTGTATGTTGAATACCTACTCCATGATGGGAAATAGATAGGTAATGGGGCCACAGAGATTTTTTTTAAAAACCAGCAGTTTCTGCCTTCAAGGATCTCAAGGCTAATGAACAGAGGTCGGAGTAGGTTGAGAATATAATATAACCATAACTAGATTTCACCAGTCCTCCAGACCATGACTGTGAGTAGAGTCACATTAACAGTGATAAATTATACAATGATAATTTAGCTGCTGGTCATTTCCCCCTTGTAGTATAAAACCTTCCAGCCCCTTGCAAAAGCCACTCTTAAACTAGTTCTGGGAGTCCCTAAGATTTAAACAGACAGAAACAAAATAATTTTATTACTGACTCATCATTTTCCCAAGTGTCCATTTCTAAATCCTTTCCCTCTAGACATAACAGAGCAGCATCTGCTGGGCATGGGCTTTCTTGCCCACTCCAGAATTCATTGCATTGTCTCAGAGGTACCAGTGGCCTTTTCAAATCTGAGCAAGGCTGGGTAGAGTGCATAAGTGGGAAGAGGGCTCACTTTCCCGACCATGTGTTATAGTTTGTTGTTTGGCCCCTAAATAGCTTTGCATGTACCCCATTTTTTCCAAATATTTCAGTTCCCAAAGCTTTTGTCTGTAGCCCTTCTTTATCCATAACTTGGATTTAGTCCATGCGGCCAGGTTTAGGAACCAGAATCCGGACTGAAGGCCAGCCATTAAGTTGCTCTCTTGGTTTCCCCACCTTACTTACCTGTTGGCCACCAGGCTTAGATGCTCAAAACCTCCCCCTCACGGTCCCTTTCCCTCTGTGCACATTACCTTGTGCAAATAAATGCCTTCTCATGTACAGATGCATCTCAATTTAGGCTCATATATCCTGCTATCAAGTAAGTCAGTGACTGCAGAGCAATTCAATACTTTTTGTAAAAGGTTTGTGCCAGGTGGTATTTTAATAGAGGAGGGGCACCCAACTCATCTGGGTAAAAACGGAAGACGATGTTCAGGGAAAGCTTTTGGATGTGATGAAACTTCACGTAGGTCCTCTAGGATGATGGAAAGTTAGTGACACAACTACCTTCCAGGAAGAGGAAACATTGTAAACGGAGGCACAGAGGTGAGAAAGCTAATGAGGCATGTTTCAGGATCTTTAATTTGGGCTGTGAGCTGTTATCACAGAGGTCATCATAATTGATGATGTTGACCCTTAACTCCCCGTAAGGGCATCCAGCTGCCCAGAATGCCAACTGACTGGGGCAAGGGTCTTATCGGGTCCTGAAATGCTCAAACCCTCTTAATTGGCCTAGAGACTGGCTACATGCTTACTTATGGGGGA